TCCATCCGTGCAAGCCTTAACTTGAGTAAAATTGAGACATCTTTATGAAACTTGGTAGACATGTTTCTGATACCGTGAGCGGTTGTATTGCAGATGGGCGTAATCGGACCACGCCCACAAAACGCCATTATTCAAAACAAATAAATTGCATAACTAAGCTCCACAACAAGATACAAGACTCTTATTTGGTATACAGGGCCCATACAGGCGCCCACTCCCCATATAACGGTACTGTTAAAACTACTAAAAGCGCGATAAATCAAGCATTAAACACGCCCGAGACATTAAATTTTATCTCTGGGATGGTATGAGATACTTTATAGGAACCGCGTCAAAATTAGACAGTGGGCGTGGCACAGCCACTTTAGGTGAAAACCACTATCTCGAGATCTACTTCACCGATTCCAACCAAGTTCGGTGCATATTTCTTTTCATATTTCTATATCATAGTGCAAAAATGGGCGAAATCGGACTACAAACCACGCCTACTTCCCATATAACACCATTTTAAATTCCATCTGATTATTTCACTTTCCACAATGCAAATCAGACAACAATGACTGTATCGGGATAAAACTTGCGTGAATAATGCGATTAAAATATGCCACTTGCGGCCAAAAATTGTTCTAATCGAACCAAAACTGTTCAAGCCCCTAAGTACTAAATATGTGGACCCCAGTGCCTATAGTTGACCTTCTACCGAAAATATCAGTCAATCCACAAAGAAATTTCAAACGAGTATACTATTTGACTTTGTGAGTTAGCCCTTCCTTACTTGTTTCTTTGTTTTGCAATTATATTATATTAAAATTAGTGTCAAGTAGTCACTAGTCAAAAGTGGTGAAAAGACTAGTGAAACAGAAGGTTTGGAAATCTTGTAAAGTAGAAAGTTAAAAAGAAAACAGTTAAATGAATACATAAAATGAAGTATATATAATTTGTAAAGTTCAAAATATCAACTCTTTTAATTGGATTTAAAAGACTAAAAGCGAAAAACATTAACTTAAAACTAATAGCACATACAATTCAGAAAGAAAGAAATATTAATAATTTTCTTTTGATACACAACATCGATTAAAATTCAATTAAATAAATTAAACAAATAAATTTCTTTGATAACAAACATCGATTAAAATTCAAATTAAATAAGTTAAACAAATTATTTCTTTTGATACACAACATCGATTAAATTCAAATTAAATACGTTAAACAAATTATTTTCTTGATACACAACATTTACTGCAAGTGGATTTTTAAAAATGAAAGACAATTTTTCATGGAACTAAATAACGTTATTCTGTAATGTAACAAACCTTCTTTGATGAATACAAGCTTTGATTTTGTTTGAGCTGGTTCACCTAGCCTGCTCCACGATCTTTTCCGCTTGATATTGTTGTAAACAACCCATTTTCATCGCCAGTTATCATTCGTTTTAAAATGGATAATTTTCATTACGTTCTTTAGCAAATCGCAGCTGTTAATGCGTTGCGTTAAATGCGTTTTTCAGTTCGTGAGGAACCCATGTGTCGTTAACTCTCTAATCTCGTACATTAACTTGATCTTTTTGACTTTCAGCCAAGATTCCTTCAATGGGTATCTTTTATCTTTATAATAGTGTGATATTCAATGATACACTTTCAGATTCAGTTAATATCTCTCAGGTGTTCCGCATGGTAGTCTTCTTGGTCCGATTTTGTTCTTGTTATTTATTAACTATATCTCTTCTGTAATTGAAAACTCAAAAATTTATTATATGCGACGACGTAAAGTTTTTAAATCATATACTTAATATATAAAAGGTGTATGTTGCAAACAGACTTAAATTTGGTTGCTTGGTGTGATAGAATTATTTGCCATTAAATTTCAAAAATTGTTGGACAATGTGATTTTCCAGATGATCTGTGCCTTATGTAATAAAAAAACTATAGACTAGAGAAAGTATTTAACTTTGTTGATTTGAGTTAATATACTATGGCCATATTACCAGTTATTATACCAAGCAAAAGGTGTTTTCTGTTTGTTAAACGTTGATCATAAGAATTTAGATCCGTGTGTTACTAAACTTTGTACAACTTTGTTAGGCCTATCCATTCTGACAAGTTTAAATCTGTTAAAAATGTTTACTTTTCGCGTTAGAGATGGGATTTATGTTAAGTCTACCTCCATACACTAGTGATTTAAAACGTATAAATCTATTTACACTTACTAAATAGTTGTAAGGAAATGCCTTGCATAATAGTCTTAGTAAATATCTTGAATATAACAGTTTGAGGTCTTTCTCTTGTCTGAAATAAAATTTAATATCCCGGTTCGCTTTTCGAGGCAGCTTAGACCTTTACTGTTAAATGTGTAGATCAAATTTAAACTAAACTAACCATTTCACCCATATGTCATGAATTAATTTCATATCTGCACAAAGGATTTAACTGACTCACTTTCAAAATTACAAAGACTATATTGCCTCTATTAATAAATAATATCGTAACATTATTATAACGTAATTTTGAATTATAGCTGTTGAAATTTTGTTTCTGTACCTCAGTAGTTTTATATCTCGACTCTTAAAAACTTTCATTACTCTTATTTCACAGGTATGCGATTGCGCGCATCGTTTTTGTTGGCGGAGAAGGGTAATCGTTGAGTTATTATTATTACAATACTGTTATGTGTATAGACGAATCCATACTCGATAATAGAGGAGTAAAAATTGTGGAGGCAATCAGGGTAAGAAATTGTTTCTATTTTTGGAGCACTGACGATTATTCTCATCCTTTCTATTAATACTTGTACATGCTCGGTTCGTCCGAGATTTTATGACTAGTCTGGCGGAAGTGATTTCCTTAGAAAAATAATTTCGAACTGGAAAGTTGCTTTTTGAATATACATTTTGTTGTAAATGTATCTCGAAATTTTAAAGGCTTCTTTCAGTTGCTTAGTTTCAAAATTATACAATACATCTCCTGATTATGCATTAATTGGTTTCAAAAAGATAAATAACATTAGTTTTATTAATGTATAATAATTAATTTAAAAATTGGTTGCATACACGGCGTTGGATTCAATCTGAAAACTAAAGTAATACAATAATTTATTAGTTTTCCAATAATATATTTAATTATGGTTTTCGATGGTAAAAAGCAGCTGATGATAAGAAACCAATTTTATTAAATAAAAGAACATGAAATGATAAAATGTTGTTAAGCGATTATTAATTAATAGTTTAAAACACCGTTTTTCATTGTTTCAACCTGATGCTACAGAGTATAATATTGTAGCTTGGTTCACCTAACGGTTGTTAAATCTAATCGGGATATAGGATAGATATAGGTTATATGTATATAAATGACCAAGAAATTGACTGTCCGTCCGATTGACTGTCTGTCCTCCGCCCAAATGTGCAATAATTAGAATAATAATAGCACCATATGAAGTTGGTATTGCAAATTGGCGTAATCGGAACACCGGCTCAAAATTAAATAATCAAAAAATTATATACAGTATTGCCATAGCTAACTATACTATAAGATAGAAGACTGTATTTGCTATAGCTATATAAGCTATAACACCCAAATATTGCACAAGATAAATCCTCCAACACCTCTTACCACAGTGTGAAATTAGGTGAAATCGAATGATAAACCGTTCATTCCCCATATACCGTTATGTTAAAACTACTAAAAGTTCGATAAATCAATAACCAAATGTGCCAGAGACATTAATTTCACACCCAGGATGGTAAAAGAGGGCTTTAATGTTAATTTGGACGATGGGCGTGGCACCGCCCACTTTTATGTGAATACACATATCTTCTGACCTACTATACCAATTTCAATCAACAGTAACAGTAAAAGAAATTAACCTGTCAGCCCTATGTCACAGTGGGATAATGAGCAAAATCAGACAACAAACGGGCCTACCTCACATGTATAAAGTTATATGATATATTGGAATAAAACTTGCACCAATGGTGCTTCTAAGCTATGCCATCTCGCGTCTAAAAGTTTTATTAGTAAATATCGGACTAAAGCTATTCAAGCCCCCACATACCGAATACAAGTACAATGCGTATGTCTGACTTTTTGCCGAAAATATCGGTCAATCTGTGAATATATTATTGAAATGAAAAGAAATTGAGAATGTTTTTAACAATAATGAACTCCTGTGTCAAAAATGGGTGATCGGGTCAATCTCATTAACCTAATATGAAGGTTTTCGAACATCCAGTTGACTTTCTACCACATACATATCGGCCAAAATGTGAGTTGTTTTAATAAAATTAAGGGAGATGTTTTCTAATAACAGCCCATCTTTATATCTTAGCAAAATGAACTGAGCGTGTAATCTTGATATATATTTTAGTTTAATGCCGAAATGTGAAATTTATCTACGAATTTCTGATTCCAATATACTCTATATAGAGACTTAATACTTTTCAGCGTTTAGGTTGGTCAAAATATGTGACATGGACAAGCAATACTAATTATTTTCTTGAATATTTGGCTCTGGAACGTCTTTTTAAGTCTCCTACAATAATCAGCTAGCATACCTGGGCTCCATTTCCTTGTTAGCGCTTCTCCATTATCCTTAGGTGTACGGGACCTGTCAATTTGTCGGAATTCAAACTTTGCAATGAAATATCTCAAAATCGTTCAATCGATTTCAACTATTTTGCATCGTAAATTAATGATTTCAGCTAAAGAATCCCTCCCTAAACCATCCACTTTTTGAGATTCATGTGTGGTATTCCTATCTCGACGGGACCCGTCAAATTGACATGTTAGCTGATAACGTAAACAATCTGTATATATTTGCTTCGCTTGTAAATTTATATCTCCAATAGCAAATATAAGACTTCACTGATTACCCTTTAACCAAAATTACTAACATCAATGAGGATTGTTCTGAGGTGTCCTCCGAAGAAGATCAATAAACATGTGGCAACACTTCAAGCTCTTAAGCTGTAATTTTTAGCTGTGTAAATTTGTGTTGTTATTTAAAAATTCTTGAAGTTAATTGATTTTTATTACCGTGTTAATACAAATTTTTAGTGATTAAACTCTCAGTTTCATGATAAGTATTAAATGTTCTGTTTGTGCGGTATTAAAAAGTATTAAAAGTTTAAACTTTCCAATTTTTGGTGCCGAGTCAGCCTTTGTTTCATTTTGTTATTTTATTCTATTTTCTCACTTGTTTATCTTATTTACTCTTTATTCACAGCTGTGTTGCGTTTAGCTTTATTTGTTACAGTGCTTCTAAAAGTGCTCGCTATATTGCTTCTTCAAATTGTCTTGGTTTAAACTTTGATAAAAAATTGTTCTTAATTGAATTTATTATTATTAATATTTTATTAACACATTATTATATTTATCTATTGAATTTTGTTCTGCCTACTCTTTTATTTGATCTTCATTCTTGTGGTATTATGTCTTGCAACTTTCCCAATTGTAACATTAAAGGCGAGTCAGATCGCTACGTTTCATGCTGGCTTTGTGATGGGCTTGCCCATATTAAATGTGCTGGACTGACTGGTAGAATCTTAGATTCTATTATCGACTGTAAGGGATTGCGTTGGTCCTGTTTAAATTGTAGATCTATTGAAATCGATCTATTTAAAGTTTATAGGGAGACACGCAATGGCTTTAACGAAATCGGTCGTGATCTTGTAACCCTCACTGAAAATTTAGGCACTATGAAAATTGTTCAAATCTTTTAAGTGCCTGAATGATTCTCACGAATCCTTAAACCTGCTCCTAAGCGTAACGTCCTTCCGATGAGTAACACTTAGTTCTTTTGTTCAGAAAAGAACGTCTCCTCCAATGACCTAATAAATCTCTCTTCTCCTGCCCTCAAGGTGATAAGCCGTCAGCTTCCAAAGAGCTCAATTCCCAAAAGCTCTATCTATAGTAATAAGTGTCTCACAATTCCAGAGGCTCCCTCTATTAACTTAGTAGCATCAGTTAATAATTTGATAGTTATTCCACCTAAAAAGTCTATATTTATTTCGAGACTTGCCAAAGATACCTTGGTGGAGGACATTAAATCTTACATTTCGTCACGTTTTAAAATCGATGATATCAATATACGTAAATTTAACTTCAATTATGATAGAAGTATATCATCGTTTAAAATAGACGTGTCTCTTGAAACATTCAAAAAGATCTTAGATAGTTCATTCTGGCCACCTGGGACTTTTGTACGCGAATTTAAACCTAAACTTAGAAGTCAAACTGAGGAAAACATTGTTAAATTACCAAAAGCAACCACCGATATGAAAAACTGATTGGTAGAAATTATAGCAATAATATCGAAATAAGCATTTATTATCAAAATGTTAGAGGTGTTAATACAAAATTAACTGACTTGTATTTGAACAGTTCCAATTTCAATTTCCATATAATTGGATTTACAGAAACTTGGTTAAAACCTCACATTTTTGATAATGAGATTTTAAACAGCGAATTTCAAATTTTTAGATGTGATCGACTGAACAGAATCGGTGGAGGTGTTCTATTTGCCGTGCATTCCTCTATCCCATCTAAAAATATTCTTGTTCCAGGGACCGACTCATTTGAATTTAAATGTATTAGAGTATACGTTAATAGTTGCTTTATTTATTTAACCCTATCTTATATACCGCCCCATTCGGACTTATCTGTATACATGCAGCATGCTTCTTTAATAAATAGTGCTACCTCGATGGCAAATAATGCAGATTCAATAATTGTATTAGGTGATTTCAATTTACCGTGTGCTTCGTGGAAACCTTTCGATGACTATATCGTACCGATTTGCAATCGGTCATGTTTTAATGAGTTTTCGAAAAATGTCCGAGTTGGGTCTGAACCAAATTAATTTAATTCCGAATAAATTGGTAAATGCTTAGATTTAGTATACGTTGATACCTCTGCAAAGTGTTCCGTTATTCAGAGTAATCCTCTTGTTCTACCAGAGGACTCATATCATCCTGCTTTGGAAATATCTGTCGAAATCTCAGGCATTGTACGGGATAATAAACATCAAACTTCGTGCTTCTGTACTGGTTTAACTTTGCAAAAGCTAATTTAAAAATTAAATACAGAACTTTCTACAATAACATGGCCTAATTATAAGTGTGACATTGAATTGAGTGTCTCTCATTTTAATAAATTATTATGAAATTATTTGAAAAGTATGTTCCAATAGTAATTGTTAATAAAAGCAAAAGTATAAGTCCGTGGTTTTCGAAAGAGTTATATAAATTGAAAAACAGAAAAACTCGAGCCTTTAAACATTTTAAAAAAACCGGTTCACTTGTCGACTATTCTAAATATTCTCTATTGCGTCGACAATATTTTGACCTAAACAAAAAATTTTATAATAATTACTTAAATAAAGTAAAAAAAAATATTGTAAGTGATCCAAAATCGTTTTATGATTTCGTCAACTCCAAACGCAGAATTTCCAAATTTCCGTCCGCAATGAAATACAAATCTATCATTATATCCAATATGTTTGCAGAATTTTTCAAGTCAAATTACTGTAATAATTCTTCCAAAACTTTTTCTTATCAGCAAGTGCTGTGTTCGAATACTTTAATTAACGCTCCAGTTATTTATGAAGAAGACGTCCTTTTTAATTTATATAAGTTAAAAAAATGGAAGAAATTGGAATTGCAGTTGACGGGAAACGGTGGGTCAGACTGAAAGTAAGGAAATTTATGGGTATGCTGTCCGTTCATACTATAT